AGCAGGAATTATGGAGCTACGTGTGCCCTCTTGAAGATACCAATTTTATTTTTTCTTTCCTTGTTTTCCATCTCTTATTTTATATATGCTCTAAATATGGATGTAATACTTTACTCTTGGAGAGTTATTAAACATTTGACTCTGTAAGCCTGCTTCTGGATTCTTCCTCCTTTGATGGATCCTTTTAACCTGCCCACAGCACTTCAGAAATGAGATGTTAGAATTTGCCTCTGAATTTGACTTTGATTGGCAGCCTTGCTGCTTAAGGAGTAGCACAAACACGAACACCAGACATCTGGAAAGAGAAAAAATAGTAAGATTTCCATAGAGGAGACAGAATCTGTCTCCAGTCTATGAGGTTTGTGGTACTTTACCCATGACAAAAACTCACGCTCTTCACATCTAGTACATGGAAATAGGTTTTGCATTCCCTTCCTACTTGAAGCCCTTTTCTCAGCAGTGACAATTTGGCGTTACCTACCTGTTAGGGCACAACTCTGCTTGCTGAGCAGTTAAACAACTCGCTCCAGCTCTCAGCTAAGCCTTCAGCAGCTACTTACAGCAGAAGGCAAACAATAGTCTTCCAGCTGCCAAATTGTCCCTTTCCCCAGGGATCAAAGGGGAGCTCTAGCAAAGCAGCATAGCAGGAGCGGAAGTCTTTTCCTGTGCTGAATCTGCCCTTCCCTGCCTCAAACCAATCTGCCTTTGTTGTGGAGGGGCAGCCACAGACCTCCACCAGTAACAGCGACAGTCTGGGACGAGCTGATGCCTTTCTTCCCTCCTAAGGCACCTCTGGTGGGTACTGATCCTTCCCTGGTGTTGGGCTGTGCAGTGAACTGTGAAGAATTTCACTTTGGTTATTGTCCTGTAAAACAAAGCTGGTCTCTCCCAGGAGGAGGACAACCTCTTGGAGGGACATCTACCCCAGATTCTGGGTTTCATGCTGAACACTGACTCTCCACCTGGTTTAAAGGTTTGGCACATGCAGCCCCATGGGCAGCAGCAGCTCTGTATGCACCTCACCTCTGTGGCAGGCTCCTGGGACACCTACAATGTAGCTGTCTCGTGTGCACCTTTAAAGCCAGTGGGCTTTAAAGCCCACTGGAACTGGAGGCACTGAGCCCATGGTGCTGGACTGCGCTTGCAGAAGGCTTTCTGGAGGAAAACCTTCCCAAATTTTATAGCAGCTAAATAGCTTTGTAGCTCTAAGGAGCCAAGCCAAGGACGCCCATATGGGAATGCAGCATCCATCTTGCTTTGACATCTGTCAAGGCTTGGCTGGACTCAAGATTTGTGAAGCGGAATCTCACTGTATCGCGTGCCAAGGACCAGCCTTGATGAAGTCCGGGGTGAGGCTTCCCTGCTGTATTTGCAGAGCTTGCCAGGCCTGGGGATGCTGCTGAGGGAATCCGTCAGACCCTGGCAAGGTAAGGTAAAGTGTGCATCCTTTCCCAGAAGCCCTCCGTGTGTTTTTGGCAGTCCCTGGCAGCTGAGCACTGCTGGATTCCCTTCCCTGCCCCACTGGGGCTCATGCTGGAGTTGCTCTTGTCCTCGAGGAGTCAGGCTTGCTCTGACGGGGTGACCTCAGTGTGTTAAGAGGGGCTGGGCTCCCCAGGGCCCTGGGCTGGCTGCCTCTGCTGAGAGACTGGATGGGCCCTGCTGCCAGTTCCTGCCTGACCCCTGGAAGCTGTGCCAGAGGATTTGCTGGAAACCCTTACATCCATGTGGACACCCTGTGTTATTTTTTTAATATGAAACAAAATACTGAATCTTCTTGTTTACATGTTGCACAAAGTGGAGCATCATGAGATGCTGGCTCTTTCCATTAGAGCCATATGGTGGTGGAGTTACAACCATGGAATCACTTCAGCTGGAGAAGATCTTTCAGATCGAGTCCAACCATAAACCCTCTAAGCACCACATCTACACAGCTTTTCAGCACATCCAGGGATGGTGACTCCACCACCTCCCTGGGCATCATCTTCTGATGTCTGACAACCCTTTTGGTGAAAGAGTTCTTCCTAAGGTCCAGTCTAAACCTCCGCTGGTGCAGCTTGAGGACATTCCCTCTTGTTCTATCACTAGTTACTTGGGAGAAGAGACCAGTACTTACTTTTCTACAACTATCCTTTCAGGGAGCTGTAGAGAGCGTCTCCCCTCAGCTTCCTTTTCTTCAGACTAAACAGCCCCAGGTCCCTCAGCTGCTCCTCAGAAGTCTTGTGCTCTAGGCCCTTCACCAGCTTATTTGGTCTTTGGACCCTCTCCAGCACCTCAGTATCTTTCTTGTACTGAGGTGCCCAAAACTGAACACAGTACTTGAGGTGTGGCCTCCCCAGGAAGTTACAGTGTTCTTCAAAAATCTTGCTCCTCTCATCCCCCACTGCCGTTAAAACCTTAACCACCCTGATGAAGGTGAGCAAAGTTTGGATTCTCTCCCTGCAGAAGAAGAGGATGCTGCTGGCAGACAGGTCCAGCTGTCACAGGCCTCCTGTCAGTAGTTGTTTCCTGGGGTAAACATGCAGCAGCAGAACACCTGCAGAAATGCACTGCTTTGGTTATGACTCTGGACCCACCTGGGACACCATGTCCTCCTACATGAAAGAAGTGGAGGAAGGATGTGGGTAGAGAGGTGGGATCCTATCCCAAGGACAGCTACTGCCCGGGTGCTGCTGGGGCAGCCCCAGCTTGGTGTGAAGGCTGAGCAGGAGAGTCAGTTCAGTGAAGGTAACCCGCAGAGAAAAGGTCTTGAGTATCTCCCTGTTCACCTTCTGTGGGTGGTCTGCTGAAGTCTTTACTGCAGTTCATGTCTAGTGGGAGAGAAAGGAATCTTTCCTCACAGGGAGCCCTGGCTCCAACCTGGGATGGAGCAGGGCCTGCCCAAAGATATGTTTTCCTTGACTCCACCAGCTTTTTGCTTTCCTCTTCCATCTGCTGGGTCAAGGTCCAGCACTTGGGCACTTTGAGGACCTGAGTGCTGATAGCCTGCTTTCTACATCAGAGGCAAAGCTCTCCCTGGGCAGGGGAATCAGGCAGGGAGGTTTTCCTAGGGAGCTCTCTGTCCAATTGCCCTGCTGCTGGGGCAGAAGCAGTCCAGCTGAGAGCCTGGACCGGTGGAGTGGAAGGACACGGGCACGGGCCTCTCTGGACTTCCCCTTACTCTTTGTCTCCTTCCTATTAAGTGCATCCTGACACAAAGCCCAGAGCACCCATCACAGAGGTGATATGTGGGAATCAGAAAACCTGGGCCAAACTCTGCTCCTCGCCCTCTCTGCCTCCCACTCTGCATCTCCCTGGATGTCTTGCGGCAAGTGTTGTAGTCTATGGAGGGGGATTACACCAGGGTGATGCTTATCCCAAGGCAGCTGCTGTCTAGTGTGGGGCAGGCAGTGCTGGAGGAGAAGGAAATGCTCATTTTTGCCATTGGCAAAATCAGTGGTTGTATGGAGGGGGAGCTGATCTGTCTGCCTCGCTGGTGCTTGTGGGAGAGAGGTGAGAGCTTCCCCTGGCAGGGGTGGGGACTGCCCGAGCCAGATTTTGTTAGGATAAGAGAGTGGCTGCGTGCCCTGAGAGCCACCCTGGCACACGGTGGGGAAAGCCTCAGGGTCGCCAGAGGTGAGGTGGTGGATGCCAAGTTGTGCTGAAGGAGACCTGCAGCCCACCTGCTCCACCCTCACCACGAGCATTGCTCTTGTGGCCCCAGAAATTACTTCCCTCCCTGTGAGACAGCAGGGGAGGCTCCACGGGGAGCGGAGCTGGTGGGTGCCAGGGGAGGTGATGGGCATGGGCAGCACACGTGTGTGGAGCCCAGTGTAGCCAGTGGGTGCGTCCCCCTAGGAGCACACAGAGCCTCAGGCCCTGCTGCAGGTTCCGCCACTCCCAGGGTCCCGCAGCTCTTCCCCCCCTCCCTCCCGGTCCCCAGCCTCGTTTCCTCCGGCCTTGAGGCCGGCCGGTGGCTGCTGGCGTATCCCGGCCCCAGGGCTTCCTCTGCACGGAGCCCGGCTTCCTCTCGGCTTTCCGGGTTCTCTTCTCCACGGCACACAGGGGATCATGCCCTTGCTCACTGAGGAAAAGGAGGAGGCAGGAGGAAGCATGGTTTCATAGAATTGTAGACTGGTTTGGGTTGGAAGAGACCTTTAAAGGTCATCTAATCCAAACTCCTCGCAATGAGCGGTGACTTTTGCAACCAGAGCAGGTTGCTCAGAGCCCCGTCCCTCATTGTACAATTTTTTTTTCCATCTAGTCTAAATCTCCCCTCTTTTAGTTTAAAACCATCACCCCTTGTCCTGTCACCACAGGCCCTGCTAAAAAGACAGTCTCCATCTTTCCTGGAGGCCCCTTGAAGTCCTGTCAGGCCCCCAGAAGGTCTCCCCAGCTGGAGCCTTCTCCTCTGCAGCTGCCCAAGACCAACTCTCTCCTGCTGGGCTCCCAGCAGAGGGGTTCCACCATC